CCACCTAAAATTGAAATATGGAAGAACCAGCAAAATCGTCACCGACCTGCACCGTAAATTGGAAAAATGGACAGCAAGAAGCGAAACGCTTAAGGATCAACGAAATCTCCTTGAGCAACGAAATTCTCTGTGCGGGGGTGTTTCGTCCGTAATACGCCAGAGAGGAGGAAGATTTGGCGGGTTTCACCATCTCATCCCTTTCCTACTTCTTACACGGTCAACACAGTGTTATCCTCAATGGTGTCCTTTTCGTTCCGTTTTCGCTGTCCGAACGTGGTTTTTGATCGTTCTCGAAACAAGCAACGTTTTGACGCGTAATGGCCAGCTTTTTCCTACTGCCATCCTTTGCCTTTTGTTGAATGGCCGAAGATTTGCCTTGAAGCAGACATATGTGTGGTGTTTCTTTCCACAATTTTTGCAACCCGAGGACTTACACTCAGTCGAGGTGAGTCTCTGTGAACTGCAATTGATGCACTTATGAGTAGCTTTCAAGTGTTCCGATCTTTGCTTGGGATCGGAGATTTTCATGCACTGTGTGAACCAGTGATTTTTCTCGTTGCAATAAGATCAAAACGGCATATTTTCTACACATCTATAGTCTGTCTGTCCACGCATTTTTAGTGGCTTAATCTTTTTTCCAGGCTTAGTTGGAAGTTGTTCTTCGATTTGTTCTTCCTGCCTGATAATCTCGTCAAGACATCGTAATTGTCGTCCCATGGTCCTCTCATCCTAGGGTATCGAAACTTTCTCTTTGAGAATATTCTCCGAGAATTTCGATAAGACCTTAGATATGAGCCATGAGTTGTCCTTTTGACCTTTGGGTGTTTTGGGTGTAAGTGTATGTATGTGATCACCATTAGTTGCTCAAGGAGTTTTCGTTGAACCTTCAGCGTTTTGCTTCTTGCTGTCCATTTTTCCAATTTACGGTGTAGGTCGGTGACGATTTTGCTGGTTCTTCCATATTTCAATTTTAGGTGGTCGATCACCAGCCCGTAATTTGCTGATGTAACCTGGTATCGTGCTATAGATTTTCGAGCAACTCCTTTCAGGGATCTAAGCATTTTCGAGCAACTCCTTTCAGGGATCTAAGCAATCATTGAACTTCTTTAAATCGGATAGGGGTTGTAAATGGACTGTAGAATTATGAAGCTCCCAGAAGTTGTCTCACTGCCATGCTCTTCCGGTAAACTCTGGAACTGCTATTCTAGGGAGTTCAAATTTGGTTGCAGGAGCTGTGACTTCCGGCGATTCCCTGGGTTCTCGAGTAAATAAGATTCCCTGCTTTTTTCCCACAAGATTTAGCCGGGTTTCCTCTAAGCGGGAAATTAGCTCTTGAGCTTTCTCGATATGCTCCGATACCTTTTGCTCTTCGTCTGGGTTTAATGGGGTCTCTAAGTGGTCCACTGAGTCTGTAAACGTGTAGAGTGCTGCTTCGAATGCGGCGAACATCTCCTTTATTTTCGTTTCAGCCGTAGAAATATCAGAAAGGGTCTTAATTAACGTCCATTTCTGTTTATCGATTTAGATCCACGTAGAGAGACAAAAGCTGTGACAGGGTGTTGAAGTGTCGAGTCAAGACACCTTTACGTGTTTTCAAAGAAGTAGCCATTTCCGAACAGTCCAGAGTCAGTTTTGATAACTACCAAGTCCTTCAGGTTAGAGTCCACCTGGTTAGTCCACTCGTAATCGGAATTACTGCAGTCAAGGGTAGTACCTAACGTGCAAAGCGGTTTGTTCTGCAATAGATATCCTACCTTTACTGACGAATGTTCCTTGCAGCTCAGATCGCTATTGTCGATGCACTATGCAAGAAATATCGTACTACTATGCCACGCGGATGTAGATATTGCACACTTTATTTAGGTCACCAACCAAATCGCGCCTCAAACTTGGGCAATTAAACAAGCCAAGAAAAAAAATAAAACAAGTAGTTCAGGTTAATAGATCGAGTAATAATGCCAGAACTTCAAAAGGAAGCCAAAAGAAAACTAAACTAACAACATGGGGCATAATGAGTCAGAGGATAGAAAGAGGATGGATACAAGTAACAGAGAGCATAAATGCAAAATGTGAATGGATATTATAAGTAGATGAGTGAGAGTCATGCACCTTGAACAAAGATTCATGCACCAGAAATTAAGGAAAAAATAAGGATGAGTTCATGAGTTGATGTCATGCACCATCGTCAATTCTCCATCGTCCCGCACGGCCTCTATTTATGCGGTCTCGTGTCGGTGTCTTCAAGAGAATGTTCAACATTTCAGTGAACTTTCAAAACACAAAGTACTGCAAAATTGAGATTTTATCAAGAGATAAACGTTGCAATCCAACTTTCATAGAAACTCATAGAAGAAAGTTATAACCCACAGTAGCTTGAGTCACGATAGTCGTGATACTCTAAGCGTATGTGAATATCTAGTCACAAACGAAAACTAGGGATTCTTCGACATCGATCAATCCGTGATTGCTGATATGCCCTTGCGTAACTCTTACCTTATCTGCACTAATCGTGTTGGAGAGTTGGAATACCTATATAAAAAGAGAGAGTATGTGGATGCGCAATCATTCACACAACAATAGTGTTTGTCGGTATCGACTGATCGATGACTGTTGCTCTCATGCTCTATAATATATACTCATCACTCACACTCCCTAAGCATTTCCGTAGAATTAGGGAGAATGTGGATACCCAGTCACTCTAACGAAAATTCTGTATTGTATAGATCAACGATTGCTGATCAACTGCGTAATTCTCACCTTGACTATACTTTTCTTGCAGAATTCGAACATTTCCATAAAAGGAGAGGGGTTGTCAATACTCAGTCACTTGCACAAAAAGTCTATAAGTATCGACTAATCGATGATTGCTGACATCTATACAGCGCACTTCATGTTATACCTACACTACTGCTGCTGAATTGAGACACTCCTAATGGAGGGCAGTGCATGCAGTACCCAATAACACAACTCCATATTAATCACCGTCTTTGAATCGATGATTGCTGATATCTTAGTGCGCAATTTTCACCTTATTTGCACCACTCCTGCGAAGTTTCGGCAATTTTATGAAAAGAGAGTGGAGATGAATGCCACCAGTACGAAAAAAACGATAATTATAAGCATAGCTTCATCCGTGATTGCTGATCTCCTCACTACGTTAACCCGTTCATATTTGAATTAACCCGATTCAGTTTCGAAACTTCCTTAAACAGAAAGGAGATATGAGCACGACGGATCACAAAATCGATATTTATCGTACTGATTGGCGTTTGCTGACATCCCTACTACATTCTTCTCATGACACCTGCATTACTCTTTAGGGTAGAACCTTCCCATTGATGAATTTCAGTGTAGATACCCAGTATTCGATTTATCGCACATCTCTTTCTTTGTCAGCCCCACCTACTTTCGCCCAGACTACTAAAACCTTTTCAAATAAGATTGCAATTTCTTTTTGCTTGACCCACGCTGGTATAAATAGCATCCGCAAATACCATGGAAATTGCAACTATTATGACTTTCCATGCCTCTTCCTTTGCTAGCTTCTACTTTGCTTTCTTTGGAATATTTTTGGATGGCTTGTGCATTTTGAATACCATCTAGGCTCACTTCAGTGGACGCACTACAAAATCTCGCCTTCTCTGCCGCTATACTCTATACCCTTTGCAAACTCCAAAGCGCTTTCAAATAGGGCTGCAGATTACTCTTTCTTATTCAGACCAAAGAAAGAGTAGTCTGAGCAGAATGATAAATTTTTCAAGGAGGCATTTTACGGCTAAGGACGGCTATCTGAAGCGATAAGGGAAGCTTGACCTAGCTGAGGCATTTTCAGCTCACCTGGGACCATCATCACTCCGAAGCAACCCTCACTAGGCGTAAATCGGCCAGAAAAAAGTTACACATTTTCGCTATGAGCACCGCCCATCTGAAGGATTCTAAGCCCGCAGCGGATAGCCTTCCTTCGTCTTGTTCGTTAGCTCGCTGCTCATCTCCCATATCCTCGTTTGTGCTTCTCTGAAACTGAAGTTCAAGAAAGCCCAGTTCACGGGCCTTGCTCCAGTACTACCCGTTTTAGAGCTTTCTTTATTCTTCTCTAGGTATCGCTTCACTTATTGTTGGCTCACGCATGCTTAATTAACCTCGGGCTTTGCCTTCGTTTAAACTTAGAAAGGTTCTTCTGCAATGTGTGCTTTGCAGTAATCGTAATCCCATCCACTGACCTTTCCATGATGATATGAGGATTCTAGAAATATTTTCATGTATTTCTTTATTTTGTTATGGATTGCAAGTGTCATCCATTGCATCAGAACTTTCCTTGGCGGAAGAAGCGAGTGCGAACCGCAAGATGTATAGCAGCTTCACCTAGTGTTAAGAACTTTGAAAGAGTTTCGCTACAGTAAATCCTCGAATGTTGAGGAAGTAGAACTGTGTAGGTTTGCAAAGAAATAAGTACGAGGAAAATGCACATATCATACCAACCTCGGGCCCTTTATCTCTATGAAAATTTTTCGACAAGAGTAAGACATTTACCTCATTAGGGAATTGCAGATATGACTTTGTCATCACGCAGCTAACACATATAGATCATTGACGCTCGACAATAATGACTTTCTTACACTTCTACCTTGATATGATAAAGTTTCCGCTGCAGAGCGATTTGCGATGCAACCAAATTTTTGTCGCTTTTCTTTTAGGAGCCAGCACATATCCACAGCGAAGCGCAACGATAAGAAAGCAGAAGTTGACCGGCGAAGCGTGAACGACGACTTCTTCAACTGCTTCCTTTCTCCAGTACAGTGCATGCTGCCTCGAATGAAGAGATGACTGGATGCTTTCGTCATATGCAGAATGATATGAACTAGTCCATTTCGAGTTCGGTTCAAGCTTATATTTCTCTGGTGTCTTCTTGCTCACAACTGCTTGGTATAAACCCTCATTTTTTTTAATATCTCCAGAGGTTTGATATCGAGAGTGAACCAGAACACACTTTCTTAAAAAAGGAGCAGAGTTTATGCATAATTTTCAATTCACATGCATCCCCTTTATCACCTGTCGTCCCGTTGGTCAGCGATATCCTCGAGCGTACGGCAGTAACGTCTCCTGCTCGTGGCCGTAATAGTCTCCATTCTTGTCTCGAGGGATATAGTCAGCAGCCACCTTGGTCCAAAGTTCATCGCAATATCGCATGACCCTGACCCACGTGACCTTCGATTACGGGACGTGAGGTTACTTGATATTCCGAATTCCCTTCTACATTTGCGTGCATAGAAGAATCCAGAGCGTCCTCCTCTCTACAGCGCATTGAATGATGCCGACTGAACGTTCATACTGCTTTCATGATGACCAAGTCTCCGAAGCGTAATTCGACCAAGGAAGGACCGCAGCGTCAAAAAGATGAGTGTTGCTCCGAGTGTTCCTACTCTTCTTTACCACGCACCAATATTCTCAAGTGCTAAACCCGTCACGCGTTTCCTTCTACTCAGCTTCGGAGCTAGGTCTTTCATCATGTTGACTTCTCGACTCAGATGCACGCAACAAGAGCATTCAAACTCGCTCTGTTCAGCGAACAGGATTATCAGTTCGTTTTTTATGAACACCGCCTTTGTTAGGCTCGTCGTGGGTACCATATTTCCACAGGCGCTGTAGATGCGGCCAGCATTCGTTCCTCCCGCTCGTTGTTCGGTGCTATAACGATGTCTTGTGCAAAGCCAAGAAGAAAATCAAGTGAGGGCCGTTGACCTTCACCAAAATTCTTCCCATACGAATGCATGAGGTTCTAGAGAGCGGCATTGGAAAATTTGGGGGAGATGGTATCGCTCCATGGAATTTGGGAAGTTGGACTGTCGTGGTGCTCACGAAGCATCCATGTATACTAAGTCGAAAAATCCTTGAGTCTTCTACTACCGTTTTTATTTAAACGGCAGCGGAAGCCTTTTCCAATCAGTAAACGTCGGACATAAGGGCTCTCGCGGTACTTCAACAAACCTTGTGACAAAGTGGATATGATCGACTGTACTCCACCCTTGCTCGGCACTTGCTCGTTCTCAACGATGCTCCCTGCATACCTGCATGTACCGCCCAAAGAAACTAGCCGGAACTTGGACAATAATTGTTGGAAGACCTTTCAAATTTTCTTGATTTTAGCCCTATCAATACCGAGAGCCGTACAATTCTTCATCGAAGTGGTGAATGTGAATTTCAGAACTGAAGGAACGACATACCGTTGTGACGAAGCTCCGCAAGTTTGGATGTTAGTTGACGGCTGTCTATAGCTCGCGCTTCTCTACGCTCCCGTATCAGCTCGAGAGTCTTCGAAGACTTGTAGACCGTCTACTTTCCTTGCAACTTCGTGAAGACATCTAACCAGTCGGTGATACTCCTTATCGCTGCTGTCGATAATAGAATCTTTCCGTAAACCCGCCAAAGACGGCGAAACGACTCCAATTGATATAGGTATTAAGGCTTCATTCCCTGATCCGCAGTTCTTACTCCTAGCAAGCGTGTGGCTCGGATTGACATGCTTTTGTGCAATTCCATGTTCATTGCCGGAAGCTATTGACGGACACCTACACCGCTTCCCATGCTGTTGCATGTTATGAGGAACAATTCTCCTACGATCTCGAAGAGGCGTCGGCAAACAATGATTTTTCGTTTCGGTCTGTCTGATGTCTTCGCGATGTCTGATCTTTCTAGCTTGCACCATCAGATTGTCGACGCAAGCGTTGTGCGTTGAAAACACAGAGCACAGCACCGTTCTAGTCCTTTCTGGGCCGCCTGTCTTGGCCCTGAGATTTTAGCAACCTCTGACGAGCGCTCCTGCCCAATTCTGCCGTATTGGAGGTTCCCTCAGGTTCAGAGGAATGAGAGCCATTTAGCTGTTTTTAGCATCGGTACCTACGAGGAACTTGTAAGGCTCCGACGTGGTGGCTGAGCTGCCTCCGGGTAGCTAGCCGTGCTACCTCACTACTGAAGAGGAGCTTTGTTCCCGGTGTCGGATGCCTCCAGTCACGCGAATGCTTCTTTTCTCACTGAGCCCATGTGCAGGATACCAACTCTATCCACAGGCACTCCACACATATAAGTGGTTATATCCGCGAAATACAGAAGGTATATTGGACCAGCACAGCACAAAAAGTGGATCAGCCTTAGGATCCGCCTGTTCGCCTGCATCTCTGTTTAGTATGAGTGTCCTGTCATTCATTTATGTGTGGTTCACTCTGGAATCCGCCAGCTCGAGTCGCGTGACATAGCCCCGCCGCCAACCTCTTAGCAATCATTTAGTGAAAGAGAATTCTAAGTGAAGGAGAGTGGACAATCTTCGTTCATGCTAAATTTTATCTTTTATGTCTGTGTTGAATGAGACTTTAGGCCTAATGAAGTGTTGCTCTCATTGGAAGCGTGCATCTCTCACGAAAGAAGAGAACTTCACATGAACCCACTTTTACAATGTTACCGTGCCAGGTCAAGTCCACATTTGCGACCCAATTCGGGCACTGAAGCGCTACCTCTTTCATTTCTTTTTTTTTCTCCGATTTTTCTTCCTTTTTGCTCCATATTCCTCCTCCATATTCCTGAGAGAAAAGCAGCAGTTATGGACGAAGCCGCCGAGGCCGGATAGAACATTCGCAAAGCCCGACGGAGCTTCACCAATTACAAGACCAAGATGACCTCCCTTCGGCGTCCGGACGGAACCGTTACTGCATCCCGGAGGGCAATGGAGAAGGTCATCTACGACTTTTACTCGGATCTCTTCGACAGCCACGTCTACCTGCCTACTCACCATCTTAGGCAAGACGAATATATCGCTCCTTCGGTTCTCCCTTCCGAAATACGACATGCCATCACGTCGATGAAGAACTGTACAGCGCCCGGTCCCGATGGGATCAAACCAGAACATCTGAAGAGTATACCACCAGTCATTATCAAAACTCTGGCTAGGCTCTTCACACGGTACCTGTCGGAATGCAAAGTGCCCACGTCGTGGAAAACTAGCAAGACTGTGTTGCTGTACAAAAAGGGAGATCCAGACGATATTGGCAATTATCGATCAATCTGCCTGCTGTCCGTAATCTACAAGCTTTTCACTCGTGTCATCCTAAACAGGATTGGCAGGATATTAGATGAAGGACAGCCATGCGAGCAAGCAGGGTTTCGGAGAGGGTTCAGTACATTCGATCATATCCACACNCGAGTTTGATAGTGCTTGTGGAAAGATCGGCTTGAGGCTGAACCTAACGAAGACGATGTTCATGAAAAACGGACTGGTACCTGATGCTCCTTTCACGTTAAACGGAACGAATATCTCCGAATGCTCTAGCTATGTGTATCTAGGTCGGGAAATCAACATGATGAACGACCTAGCTCCAGAGCTGTGCAGAAGGAAACGCGCCGCGTGGGGAGCATTTAAGAATATCGAGGGAGTAGTGAAGAAGACAAAGAACATCCGGCTCCGCGCTCACCTTTTCGACACTGCTAACCTTCCTGCTTTGACGTACGCCTCGGAGACCTAGAATCTACGAAAGCAGGATGAGCATGCTGTCAGCGTTACTCAACGCGCTTTGGAAAGGACGATGCTCGGAATTTCCCTATACACGCAAGTGCAGAAGGGAATCCGGAGTTCCGAGCTCCGTCACCGAACGAAGATCAGGGATGCCGTTGATTACGCCAAGAAATCGAAGATCAGGTGGGCCGGACACGTTATGCAATATAGTGATGACCGTTGGACCAGAGCGGTTACTGACTGGATCCCTCGGGACATCGAACGAATTCCAGGAAGGCCGCCAACGAGATGGTCAGACTTCTTCACGAAAGCTCTGAACGAAAGGAATGTTGAACCTCGTGTCCCTGAAGCGAGAACGATTCACTGGACCACTCTGGCTCGTGACAGGGACGAATGGAGACGTTACTGGCGCCCGCTCGAGGAAGTCGATGATCAACGGGACGACAGGTGATACAGGTGATTCCTCCTCCTTCACAGACCAATTGTTAGTGAGTGACTCAGCATTAACACACATAATGATGGTCGTTCATTGAAAAGTTAGTTGCAAAGTGTGCGACAAGAGAAGAAAACTTTCCAGATTGATGTTAACACTACATATGTCGTGGATTCCCACAATCACTGCTCATTGTTTATGGCTCGACCACTCACATGTGGGCAAGCCTGAGGTGAAGGCTCACCCAGAATGACGTCGTGGGCTTTTCTACTGCGCAGTTAGCATTAGGAAGCCATCCATTTATTTCTTAGCCGCCGTTTGGTTGGTTCCCAAATGATGTTTTCGTAACGAACATCAATTTCAAAAAACGGCCTGAACGAGGCAGATACATTTCCTGTCGTTGGATATGTGGGATTCACTATAAAGTATCAACGCTTCAGATTACTTTCAAATCTCAGTGGGCTGAATTTTTAGTTGTTAAGCCATTGGCTGCTTTCATAGTCCGCCGGCCGGCGGACTATGAAAGCAGCCATTGACGACGGCACTGTGTTTATGACATCGATTGACGAGTAGTCAGAGCAGGCGCTGGTTGCATTCGACGATGCTAGTAGAAAGATCGTCTTGCACCTTGATTTAACGAAAACGGTGTTTTATAGGCTGCACTGATTCCTGATGCTCCTTTTAGGCTCGGAGGTACGGGCATCGTTGGATGCTCTACTAGACGTAAAGTGGAAAAGCCATTGTGATAAACCACTGAGCTCCGAAACTGAGGAAAAGCAAAGAACTGGAGTGAGTGCCTTTGAGTGCAAGAACTGAAGAAAACAAATGCCGTATGATTCATTGCTCACTTTTCGACACTTCGCCCTTCTTGCCTTGACCTACGCCTCATTG